TTAAAGTTCAATTACTGGTTAAAAAGGTTTTATACTGGTATGTGATAACTTACTGGAGTGAGTAAATAAACTGAGAAGAAGACTGTTATAATTATATTCTGTTTTATATTACATATTTATGTTTATTTTTTAATAATTTAGACTAATTCATTGCATTACCTATAACAGGAAATATTTGCCCAAAACTTAAGGACACACAACAGTTCTACATGAATAGAGAGAACTGTAGTTTAATGCAGACAAATATGGCAGGAACTGTAATACTTGATGTCTAAGAGGATAATACACAATTTATAGGATTTTATAAATAAGTCTGTGGTGAAAAAGATAATACAGCAATGGACGCAATGGACATTGGTAAGCAATTTTTATCCATTCTCTACCTATGCCCAGACAGAGACCTGTCAATATGGAATATGCATTTTCTTCTTTGTTCACAAATCTATACAAGTTGCCACTGGCTTAGTGAAAAAACACAATTGCTTGCTTGTTCTTCAGTTTTGGATACGTGTAAGTATGCTTAGTATAAAATAAAGATAACAGTTTAGATTTTATTGTTTGATATGTTATTATTAACATTAAAGCTAAGAATGAATTAGTGTTTAATAAAGAAACCACAAATACTGTTTTATTTAAAACTCAATAGACATATATTAAAACTAACTGCATTTTTAATTATTCAAGCAGCTAGAGCTGGATTAAATTGAACTATTATAGAGTTAGTTAAAAAGTGATTAAACAATGTAATTTTTTACTAATTAGTCTTATGTCAGCTACAGTTTGAATAACTCACTTATTCTTCTGAGATAGAAGCATAAATTATCTTCATGTCAAATTATCATTGTTTTTTTTTTTCTAATATTACTATGCTTTTATTGCAATCTCAGTAAATAGAAATTTTGGGTAATTGCAATTAAGATAAATTAATATTCTTTTGCAAAATTAAACTAAAATTTAATTTTTTATGTTTGGAAAAAAGTAGTTTTTTGTGACTAATTGTTGCTATATTTAAACAAATATATAACAAAAAAGGACTTACCAATGAAATTAGAGGCTATATTTGGTACTTCTGCAAAATGAACTTATTAGATACTGAGTAATAGTAATAAATACAAATTATAATCATACTTACCATGACAATAAAAATTTGTATAACTCCAAGAACCATTCTGTAGACAAATAGAGAATGATTGACCCACTTCTCTGTATCCCTCATTGCATTTGTAAGAGGCAATTCTATTTGGCACTCGATTAATAAATTTAACTTTTCCATTTGTTATCGACAGCAAATTTGAACATTCAGTATCTGTTAAATGAAGAACGTGAACAACAATATGTATTTAATAACACTGAACTAAAGATAACATATAGTCACATGTCAGTAACAAATTATTTTAAAAATTATGTAATTATTATGGTATGCTAAAATCTTTAAATTACATACATTCACAGGTTCTTCCAATCCAAGCATTATCTTCTCCACAGTAAATGACTGACTGTTGATCTAATATGGAATTATTGCAAAGGACAATAGCTGCTGTTCCATAAATTGCAATTTCAGTTTTCATGGGTGGTTCATATCTTAATAGAGTTGCATTCTTTAATGTTGGTAATGGACATGAATAATCTACAGGATCTTAAGAAAAAATCATTTATTTCTTTTTGATTTATATTAATATAATCATATCTATTAAAAATTTATTTGAAAATTGGAAAAGCAAAGAATATTCAAGTACAAACGAAAACATCATTGAAGCAACTATGCATTTCCTAAATATAGATATTTACATTTGCTGACATATAAGATGAGCCTCATTTTTAGACAATAGTTTTGGGGGAAAAAATGCATTTTAAATGCTGGCAAATACTGTAATTTAATTAATCTTATAACTCAAAAAAACAATTCACTTCTTTGAACTCATGTCGTTCAGAAAAATAGTCATTATAAATTGTATAGTCTTCACATTGAAAAAGTCTGTTTTCTGTTAAAGTTTTGTTAAAGATGTTCTGTTTCTGTTTAAATAATATATGATGTATTCTATAAAAGGCATCTTTATCAATTTTTATTTTTTTGAGTGCATCTTGTTCTACAGAGCAAGAAGAGTATTTAAGAAAGGAAAATGGCTCGATTGGTTAAAAATTGAATATGAATTTTCAAAACACTACAAAGTTGAGAAAAACAGCTTTAAAGCTTTTCTTCAAATTTTGAAGAAAAATACTTTTAAAACTACATTTAAATTAAGAAACTTTGTTATTTTGTTAATTTGTACTGACGCCTAACAAATGCAAACCTCTAAAAATCAACAATTTAAACTTTAATCACATTTTTTGCACTTTGATGAAATTTACTTTTCCAACTTAAGGTACTTCCTCCTCATACATAGCACCACATTTATTGAAAATTAAACAGTGAAGATTAACAATCAGATGACTGATGTAGTAAAAAGCCCAGCCTGCTGCACTCTAGTTCAAAATCTAGTTGAAAATTCAATTCTTTATGAATGGTTTGATTTAGGTAAGTCAAAACTTGTCTTTCACTGCCCAGCTACCCATTCACTATAGACCTGACTAAACTTATCATGAGCACAAAACTGACTTCCAAAAATTGGAACGTTAGAACGATGTTGCTCAACTTTAAACGTTCGGAAATTACCTTAAAGTTCAATTACTGGTTAAAAAGGTTTTATACTGGTATGTGATAACTTACTGGAGTGAGTAAATAAACTGAGAAGAAGACTGTTATAATTATATTCTGTTTTATATTACATATTTATGTTTATTTTTTAATAATTTAGACTAATTCATTGCATTACCTATAACAGGAAATATTTGCCCAAAACTTAAGGACACACAACAGTTCTACATGAATAGAGAGAACTGTAGTTTAATGCAGACAAATATGGCAGGAACTGTAATACTTGATGTCTAAGAGGATAATACACAATTTATAGGATTTTATAAATAAGTCTGTGGTGAAAAAGATAATACAGCAATGGACGCAATGGACATTGGTAAGCAATTTTTATCCATTCTCTACCTATGCCCAGACAGAGACCTGTCAATATGGAATATGCATTTTCTTCTTTGTTCACAAATCTATACAAGTTGCCACTGGCTTAGTGAAAAAACACAATTGCTTGCTTGTTCTTCAGTTTTGGATACGTGTAAGTATGCTTAGTATAAAATAAAGATAACAGTTTAGATTTTATTGTTTGATATGTTATTATTAACATTAAAGCTAAGAATGAATTAGTGTTTAATAAAGAAACCACAAATACTGTTTTATTTAAAACTCAATAGACATATATTAAAACTAACTGCATTTTTAATTATTCAAGCAGCTAGAGCTGGATTAAATTGAACTATTATAGAGTTAGTTAAAAAGTGATTAAACAATGTAATTTTTTACTAATTAGTCTTATGTCAGCTACAGTTTGAATAACTCACTTATTCTTCTGAGATAGAAGCATAAATTATCTTCATGTCAAATTATCATTGTTTTTTTTTTTCTAATATTACTATGCTTTTATTGCAATCTCAGTAAATAGAAATTTTGGGTAATTGCAATTAAGATAAATTAATATTCTTTTGCAAAATTAAACTAAAATTTAATTTTTTATGTTTGGAAAAAAGTAGTTTTTTGTGACTAATTGTTGCTATATTTAAACAAATATATAACAAAAAAGGACTTACCAATGAAATTAGAGGCTATATTTGGTACTTCTGCAAAATGAACTTATTAGATACTGAGTAATAGTAATAAATACAAATTATAATCATACTTACCATGACAATAAAAATTTGTATAACTCCAAGAACCATTCTGTAGACAAATAGAGAATGATTGACCCACTTCTCTGTATCCCTCATTGCATTTGTAAGAGGCAATTCTATTTGGCACTCGATTAATAAATTTAACTTTTCCATTTGTTATCGACAGCAAATTTGAACATTCAGTATCTGTTAAATGAAGAACGTGAACAACAATATGTATTTAATAACACTGAACTAAAGATAACATATAGTCACATGTCAGTAACAAATTATTTTAAAAATTATGTAATTATTATGGTATGCTAAAATCTTTAAATTACATACATTCACAGGTTCTTCCAATCCAAGCATTATCTTCTCCACAGTAAATGACTGACTGTTGATCTAATATGGAATTATTGCAAAGGACAATAGCTGCTGTTCCATAAATTGCAATTTCAGTTTTCATGGGTGGTTCATATCTTAATAGAGTTGCATTCTTTAATGTTGGTAATGGACATGAATAATCTACAGGATCTTAAGAAAAAATCATTTATTTCTTTTTGATTTATATTAATATAATCATATCTATTAAAAATTTATTTGAAAATTGGAAAAGCAAAGAATATTCAAGTACAAACGAAAACATCATTGAAGCAACTATGCATTTCCTAAATATAGATATTTACATTTGCTGACATATAAGATGAGCCTCATTTTTAGACAATAGTTTTGGGGGAAAAAATGCATTTTAAATGCTGGCAAATACTGTAATTTAATTAATCTTATAACTCAAAAAAACAATTCACTTCTTTGAACTCATGTCGTTCAGAAAAATAGTCATTATAAATTGTATAGTCTTCACATTGAAAAAGTCTGTTTTCTGTTAAAGTTTTGTTAAAGATGTTCTGTTTCTGTTTAAATAATATATGATGTATTCTATAAAAGGCATCTTTATCAATTTTTATTTTTTTGAGTGCATCTTGTTCTACAGAGCAAGAAGAGTATTTAAGAAAGGAAAATGGCTCGATTGGTTAAAAATTGAATATGAATTTTCAAAACACTACAAAGTTGAGAAAAACAGCTTTAAAGCTTTTCTTCAAATTTTGAAGAAAAATACTTTTAAAACTACATTTAAATTAAGAAACTTTGTTATTTTGTTAATTTGTACTGACGCCTAACAAATGCAAACCTCTAAAAATCAACAATTTAAACTTTAATCACATTTTTTGCACTTTGATGAAATTTACTTTTCCAACTTAAGGTACTTCCTCCTCATACATAGCACCACATTTATTGAAAATTAAACAGTGAAGATTAACAATCAGATGACTGATGTAGTAAAAAGCCCAGCCTGCTGCACTCTAGTTCAAAATCTAGTTGAAAATTCAATTCTTTATGAATGGTTTGATTTAGGTAAGTCAAAACTTGTCTTTCACTGCCCAGCTACCCATTCACTATAGACCTGACTAAACTTATCATGAGCACAAAACTGACTTCCAAAAATTGGAACGTTAGAACGATGTTGCTCAACTTTAAACGTTCGGAAATTACCTTAAAGTTCAATTACTGGTTAAAAAGGTTTTATACTGGTATGTGATAACTTACTGGAGTGAGTAAATAAACTGAGAAGAAGACTGTTATAATTATATTCTGTTTTATATTACATATTTATGTTTATTTTTTAATAATTTAGACTAATTCATTGCATTACCTATAACAGGAAATATTTGCACTGTGCAAATTTGAATATTTTCAGATAAGTGAACCACAACAATTTCTGCTAATTTCTTCTTTGGTAGACGATACAAAGGTAATTGGCATTCAGCCAAGAATGATGTATCTAGAACAGTGAAAATAATTTATTTTTCAAATTATAAATTTCACTTTTATATAAAAAATAGAATAAAAAGAATTTTCAATTATATTGATCTTACTTGAGAAGAAAACAAAGTTAAAATTGCAGTTACTGTTGTTAGCAAATATTTGAAGGTCTCCTGGTTTCTTTCCTGCATAATATCAAAATTTTATATAATAATCATCCTCAATCAAGCATAGCAATGATAATTTTATAAAAACAAAATCTTTACCAAGTACATGAAGTCTGAAAATTGCACTTTTATATTTTCTGTCATAATTAAAACTTAGGCTAAAAGTGGTCTTGTTTATACTGCAATTTGACACATTTCCATTACTCTCTACTTTTTGAGAATCAATATATACTAACGAAAGGCTTTTCACTTGAAAAATAATAAATATAATTTTTTTTAAATTATTCTTTATAAATCAAATTAACAATCAATAATGAAACTGAACACTTAATTGTCCATTCCTACCACAAAAAGCTGCTTCATTGTCCCATGTTCCATCTTGTAAACATTTTCTTTTATCTTTACCAAATTTATAGTAGCTGTGATAGCAAGAATACGAAATTGTTTCATTTTCTTTATACTGTATTTTGGATGGAGAATAGTAACCTCCAAAAGGTTTTACAGGAGGTAAGCATATATTGCTATATACTACAGAAATAAAAAAGTCAAAAATTAAAAATTTTATTATAGTCTGTAAACAAATTATATAATAATTACAATTATAAATAAATTGCAGTGTTAAAGAGCATGTATTTGATAAAAGCAAAGTTCTTTTGCTCGGATAGATCAGTTGAATCCTCTTCATTCTGTCTGTTTAGGCTGAACTATCCAGTAGAAAAAGTTTAGTTAAAGGATGAAAATTCAAAGAAATTCAGATTTTGCTCATTTGTATTTTTGTTCTGTTTGATTTCACTGAAGAATTCTATATATCTATATTAAAAAATCTTTGCTTTTTTTTAACTGTAAGCTCATTAAAGTTGCAATTTAGTTATTATTGTGATTATTAGAGAAACATACAGCATACAAAAGAAATCATATAAAATGAGGTTTACATTACTCATTATTTATCCCCAATTATAGTCATTATTAGTCATAATTTTATCCCCAATTATAACACCAAGCAAAAGGGTCATCCTGTGTATGGAGTATTCTATTCATTATAAATTGTGTATTTAAAAACATATTAATATTTTCTATTTTTAATTATTTTAGTTAAAAAAAATGAGTTTAAGCTTATTTCCAAATAGATAAATGAGATTTTAAATAATGACTTAAAAGTGTAGGCTATTCTGACAAAACGAATGTACCTTATTTTAATATTAAAAGATCAAAGAATAGAAAAGATTAATGGAAAATAACAAAATATATTCTATTTTGTCATTTTGTAGATTTATATTTATACAAGTAAAGTAGCTACTGATGTTAATTTTATTCTTATACTTATTTATTTTCTTTTTTAGGATCTTTTTCAAGGTAAAATATTTGATCTTGAAAACCTTTTATAGATACATAAAATAGATAAAAGCAAAAAGCAGGATTGGAAATTATATATTTTTGTATTGTCTTTATTATTATACCATAAAACCTGTAAAGATTGAATATTTATGTTATATTGCTTTTTTGTCAATACTTTGATGTCATTTTTCCATAATTTGGTTATAGTAATCCTATGTTACCATATACAGCCCCTGGCAAAAAGTATTTGAATATCATATAAGAAAATGTAATGTTTGAAAAGAAAAATAATAACCCAATGAATAAAATGTATAGGTGTTTATTACTTTAATTTCAAATGAATAAACCAAACCATTTTCCTAAAAAAGAATTTTTATATAAAGCAGTTTTTAAACATATAGGAAGCTGGGAAAAAAGTATTCTAACATCAACATTTATAAAAGGTTCATGCCTCACCAATGAGCTGGCCAAGTGATGTTTTCCTGGTTTTTTTTTACATTTCTAACATCTAAATAGGAGTAACATTTCCATAGAAAGTCCCCCAGGAGGTATTCCCCCTGGCAGATTGCCCAGGAGTTGCATTGCCATGTACAAACACAAAAATTAAAGGTGACAATAATACAACATTTTTCATTTAAACTTAGTCACTATTATCAATCATACAGGATTGTTTAGACATGAAGATGATGTTGATTTTCAAATTATCAAACCATTATCAAAGAAATGTTAAAAATGTAAATTAATATGTCAAATATTTTCACTCAATAGTGTTGTTCCCTTAGTAAAATATTTGCATAAGACAAAACAAGTGAAATTACCAGCATTTAAACTTAAAAATTGCATAAAAGGATATGCATTTAGTTGCTTTTAATTTCTATTTAATGAAATTATGCTTATGCCATAATTACGAGACGTAATATAATTTTCGAAGAGGAAAGTCTTATTGGAAATAGTCGGAAGTTACGTTACATTCTGCATATAAATTGTTTATTAACCGAATTAAACATTCTAAGAGTTATTTTGTTGCATGAAATTCAAATATACCACTTTATTCCCATTAATTGTAGACTTATGATATACAGTTTAAATACTTATCATTGTGAAAAATTATATACTGTATTATAATTAAAATTAATTCAAAATTAGCAAAATCTGGGAAACACCAGTTGTTTACCTTCTTATCTACTTGCTAATGGTTATTCTTTGAATAGGCACAGCAGGATCAACTTTGTAAGTTACTTCTAAGAACTGCTTTAGAATTGATATTGGAAATATTACTACCAAAGAATTCTATTCTTTGTTGAAATTTGAAAACTTTTAGATGTGAAATTCATCACTGGATATATATAACTAATTGATTTTTATCAAAGAAATTTTCTAATGTTTAAAAGAACAATTTAATAATATTGTCTGAAAACCAAAATTACAGTACTTATAATTTATAATATATTGTACGTATACAAAAACAATTCCTTGGATAAGTCAGATATCTCCAAAATTTGTATATTATTTTGGAAGCAAAAGAAATTCTTTTCAACTTTAAATATACTATACATTATTTTTTTACAATGTAAATCTGTTATAAATAACTTTTAAATTCCTGATATTATTTGATTAATTTGTATATATGTTGCAGCTAAAGTCCACAAATCAGAAAAAGCTAGAATTAAACGAACAATACTAATTTTATCCAATTCTTTTGGTTTATCCAAATCTATTAATTTTGAACTTATTAACTCTGTACAATATTAATTGTATTAAATACAGTATTTAGAAATTGATACATAAATAATTTAACCAATTATAATTATAAATTTAGTTGATATATTGAATGTTGCAAACTCTAAGTAATAAACAATTATATCAATAGAATAGAAATAGAATGTTCATCAATAAATAGACAGCTCTCAAAGAAACTAGATTTTATCTTTTCTGAGTTAATCTTTGTCACCCTTTTAACATGAAAAGAGTGACAAAGATTAACTGTTTAGAAAGTTTAGAAAGTACAGGTATTTACCTTATGTGCAATTTGACACTTTCTAGAACTAAATGTACTGGATAAGTGAATGGAAACAATGCTAATGGGTGAGCATTGTGTATTAACAGTACATACCTGTTAATATATAATGAAAGAACTAAGCTTTTTATCTTTATCTTTATAACCTTATGTGCAATTAGATAATGACACTTTCTAGAACTAAATGTACTGGATAAGTGAATGGAAACAATGCTAATGGGTGAGCATTGTGTATTAACAGTACATACTGTTAATATATAATGAAAGAACTAAGCTTTTTATCTTTATTAATTAATCTGTTTTTAATATATAATAATCTTTATTCTAAACCAAGGAATTTCCAACTTGGTTGTTTGCACTCCTGCAGGTTCAGTGGCAAGCAATTTATTGGGAGGTCGGTGAAGAAACTTATTGTACAATTAAAAATATCAATTACTACTTATAATATAATTTTTAAATTTTAGTGATGTAAAATGTAATTTTGACATTTAATTTATGTTTAATAAATGTACACACTCCAACCTTAATTTTGCACCCCTTATATTTATTTCTTAAATCCAGTGTGGTGCTAAACTGATGGGCCCATATAATAAATAATAAATATATGTAGTAATGAGGTCTACATGCAACTTTGAAACACATAATTTGATAGAAAAAATGTATGCAGTGCAAAATCATACATTGTAATTCAAAGAAACTGAAGGATTCTCTATTAAATATTAATGGGAATGATCCGGCAAGTATTCAATGTCTTTTATGAAGGTAATACTAATTCATCATTTCACACCTTCCCTAACAATTTCCATTCTTGTCTGTTACTTGATTTTGTTGGCCATTTTGGACCAGCAAAACTTATGATTTCGTCTTTCCATCTAATTTTTGGTCTTCCTCTTGGTCTTTTATCAGTTAGTCTCCACGGCAGCGGCGGCCTTATCCATTGTGAGGCTCTGGGCGGCAGATCTTTGCGAGGCCCTTGTCCTTTGTGCAAAGTATGTGAATTNAAGTGTCCCTGTGTGATAAGCTCTGGATAGCAATATTATGTTTAATTCCAAAGAACATACAACCAAAATAGAGAGCAAGCAATCAAGCACTAATAAATCTGATATTACTTGTATTTCCTCAGCAGCGGCGGCCTTATCCTTTGCGAGGCCCTGGGCGGCAGATCTTTGCGAGGCCCTTGTCCTTTGTGCAAAGTATGTGAATTGAAATAGTAGGCACTTATTAATATTAATATATACTGTACTATGAATTAAATTTATTTTATTGTTATAACTAATAGCCAAGGATAAAATAAAAAGTTTTAAATATCAACTTTTTCTACTTGGTTGTTGCACGAGGCCCCTCCAAGAGCGAGGCCCCGGGCGATTGCCCTGCTCACCACTCCCTAAGGCCACCACTGCTCCACAGTCTCTCCATTGAGCATCATTTCTTCTCATTTTATATGGACTACTCATCTCCATTTCTGAGATTTAGCATGAATTATAACATTTTTTATTTTAATATGTTGTCTTATCCAAGCCAAGTATTATGTTTTCTGTCTTTTAGAGTACTTCCCAAGGTTTATCTTACTATTTTTCTCTGTGTGACTACGTTTGGTAATCATTTTCTCAAAGACAGTTTCACTTCTGTATGTTATCACAAGAAGTAAACATTGGTTGAAGCTTAAAGGTATTTTCTTCTTGAGAACATAAGCTAATTTTCTACAAGTTGCCCAGGTCAAGTGTGTTCTTTTGATACTTTTTACATTTCTGTGTATATATTGTAAGAACAAAGAGGTAAAAAGAATTAATTTTAAACTTTTTCTAATTCTCGATCTTCCAGAAAAAGAAGCTTGACAATTGCTGTAGCATTAAACATTATTAAAAATTAATAAAGTAAAAAGGAAAGTAATCTAATCAGGAGAACACTATACCGAGGTTTGATTGTATATGTAAGTTTTATATTATTAACTCCTATTTGTAATTTGTAATTTATAATTATTTTGTAACAGAATAATAAGGGATCAGCAAGCAAAAAGGTTGAGAACTCTATTGTAACCAATAAAAATGTGTGTTTACACGATATAAATACCCAAAAAGTAACAAAAAAATCAAGGTATGTTTAAAATTAAAGAACATTTACACGGATTTGAACAATTATCATATGAAATAATTATGGAAACAGTTCATAAGTGCATGTTTTTCAATTTAAAACAGATTTATTTGTTTGCATCACTCTTTTAGTTTCCATAAAATTGATTTTCCACGGAAAAATAATGTAAATTTTAAAAAGTTTTGCAGGATTTCCTCATAGGATTAATCTTTCCGTTTGTGTATTTATTTTATTTAATTTGAAAACAACGTTTCATGTTGTTTGGGGTAAGGAATTCGTCACGACCCTTTAAAGTTGTTCCTATTTAAATTTTGATATATCTATCAGACAGAATATTGAAATTGAATTAGAAACAGCCTTATAAATTATTATTATTTGAGTAAAACTGTAGCGTATAACTTGCATAAAAATGCAAATTTCTTTTGTATTTCGAAAGATATGCGCGAATTATCTATTATTATTTGTTGTTACTGCACTAAATTATGAGTTAATAATCCCATAATCTTATTCAATAGAATTACAAAAGAATATCGTATTGTTTATTATTATTATTTTTTTAATTAAACGGTATTATAATTTATATTCGTTAAAATATAACTGTAAAAATAAATAATTTAATAAAAGAAATACAGTATATAAAACAACTCCACTAGAGTTTTAGACAAAAGCTGTGAAACACGTGATAATTTCATGCATGCTCCACAGGTTTAAACACGTCATTTTAGGAATTCCCCAAACGTAAACAGCATATAATACACTAGTTAACAGTAATTCGCTTTTCGAGAAAGTATAATAAAGGATTTAAATTATCCAATATTAGTAAATGGGAACAATTAAAGAGATTATCAACAGTTGAAAAAGTCAATCTATATTTATACACATGAGTCTATTAATTACTTTATATATATATATATATTAAAATTCATAAGTTTATATTAAAGAAACACTAGAAAAGTATGGCTAATTTATTTACTTTAACTATTTTCATAAACTTTTCTCCTTTCCACGACATATTTACTAATGAAACATGCTTAATACTCTCATACAGTGTGCAAATTCTTATTAAAATGGTTACTATATATGAATTTATGGCTAACATTTTTGAAAAATTGAAGCTCTATTAAATCTTTTTGAGCTTTAGAATTAGCAAAAGAGTGAATTTTGTAGAAAATTACTGTATTTTGGATGACATTTTTCTGTAAAAATTGTTTGTAAATCATTTTTCTACATTCGGACTCACCTTGTTATCAATAAACTTTCTCGGCCATTGTATTAATTAATTAACAATATTCATCACTGGCTATGAAATTTATTGAGAAAAATGACGAATAATGAATTAAAAAATTAGTCATGTTACATGAAGTTTTATTAAATCATGTTAACTTGTTTACGCGCAAAATATTTGAAAGCAACAATAGAATTTGACATAGGAAAACTTTCGTAAAATCACTTTAAAAATGCTATATATTCGAATTTAAATATAAAAATGCTATAATAGGTCTACTTTTATATATTTTAACGAATAAACAAAAAATATGCTGTATGAATTAAGGTTATTGTTATGAAAGTTTATATGAAAGTGTCTATAGAAATACAAAGGGAACGGAATGGATTATATAAACCATTAAAATTGAGCATTTATTTAACTGTTCTTTAATTATAAGCGAATACTAAGCTTAATTAAGTGTATATACATTTTCATTCTAAGACTATGGGCTATGTTCTTAATTTATACCGAAGTTGTTCCGTTTTCTCTGAAGCAACAGGAGTACACGTGTTATCCCCTTTTGTTACTTCCATGATGTCATATCCTACATCTCAATCGATAATCAATTAAGAATCAAGGTAGAAGAATTATATAATTATAAGATTCTTAATAGAATATCATTAATTAAATACATACAAAATAGTTTGCATGGAATCTTAATCATTCGCACATGTCGCAAATTCCATTTTACTTCCGTCTATATAACACGACGTTTAATTTCACTTCCTACCGTATATCCTGAATAAATAATCATAGCAAAGTAATAAGAATATGTTTTTAAAATTAATTTCCATGTCTTTCAGCGTATTTATGAAAAAAAAAATCTAATTTCTTTGTCAACAAATACTCAACTAAAATTTAAACCATTGCAGAAATTGCTTCGAACTATTAAAATTAGTTAGTAAAATATTTCACGAGTGTAATATTTACCTGAAGTCCAAAAAGTAAATCCGAAAACAAGCCACAGAACGTAAAAATCCATAGAAGTTTGCGTGGTGTTAAAATATGGTCGAATAGCAGGAGTAACCACGAAGATGAGTCAACTCGGAACAAACAGTACAGTAAACGAAAGCTCGAATGAGTCATCCCAACTGCTAACAATTAGTGACAGTAACCGTTTGACCAATCAAAGTGGAATATAACGTCCCCATTTTGCCAATCACCTTACATCTTGTAGTTTTGGTCCTCGTGTTTAGACAGGAACGAAATAGCTTCCGGCTTCACAGCATGATCCTAACATGAATAGACGAATTTTTATCAGTTCTAATCGATTTTATATTTTAAAAAGCTAATACTGTACATACTACAATTAATAATGAATCGAATTATTTTAGTAGTCAATTCCTTAATGTTTTAAAGGCGTTGTTATATAATGCTTCAATATTTCTCAATCTTGAGGAATAGTTGAGGATTTCGTTTATGAAATTCGTGAATAAGCTTTCATAAGATTGCGAGCTACTGGTTGAAATATTCCGTTTATATGGAGAAATGGTACTACTCAATGCTTGAGCAGTGTAGCAACACGAATAATTCGAGATTAAACACCCTTGAGTGCCTAGCTTCGAGTTATGCGTGTAGAAACACGAACATATTGAGGTTGTCGTATGGTATTAATTCGTAAAATTGATGAGTCTATTCACTGAAGGAGTGATACGTGACACTCTCAACACGTTCGCGTAACCGTACGTAACTCCAGACTAGGAATTCTGCTTGAAAATGAAGTTGTACTAACGAACAGTAATGGTTCGGAACTTATAGATAAAACTGTATTATAAGATAGATCTTACAAGAAATATGTTTTTTAGTTATTCGTAATTTGCGAAACCATAGGCTCGCCTTTAGCCTAGGGTTTCGCAAATTTTTATGGTAATCCTCAGTAGACCTGTTCCATAAATTCAAATTCAAATACAGTATAGCCTATTTGACTCCTAAATTACATTTATACACGTGTACAGTAATAAAGTGTAAAAATTATACAAAGGCAGGAACACAGTTTTAGCTGTTTTTTCCGGCTCCTCCCGAACATAAGTACAACAAAAAAGAAAGTTTATACACTTTTATAGGTTTATATTTCAATATAGTCTATATATTATATTTTTTTATATAAGCTATATAAAGAAGCTTATGTAATATAAGGAGAAATGACATGATTGGCCACCTAATTCGACACACAGAATGGATGAATGTTTTATTGGGAGGAAAGATAGAGAGCAAAAGGGGACGTGGAAGGCCCAGAGTGGAATATCTCGACGAGTTATGACGAAAAATGCCTTACCAACAATTAAAACAGGTAGCTAATTGATTGAGGAGAGAGACAGAGAAAGAGGCTATATAAGGGATCTAATTTCGAACTATGGTTATATCTAAAGAAAAATATTAATAGTGACTTACTATAGATCAGCTGTCAAGTAAGTTATAATTTATAACATAAACAGACACTAGACTAGTATTGTAAAACCTATGTAAATGGGAATTGCCCAATACCGAATACTTTTTCCTGTTTAGCAGGTTTCCGTTTTGGACAGTTTTCACTCTATGTACTTTATTATTATTTTTTATTGTTTCATAAATTAAATAGTGTTTAATGCTATTAATCACTCCTGTAAACCAAACTAATTTAGTAGTTAAATAATGAATGTACTGTACAGTAAGTACATGATGATTTAGCCTATTATCAATACGTAACACAATATAACATAAATTTATTCATTTTTAATTCCTGGTTATCGATAAGGAACTTTGTTCATCAACATCGCAAGAGGAATTTCGATTAGTAAATACAATGCCACAAGTCTTTTGAATGTTAATAGATAATTTATAATAATATAAATAATAAAGTACTGTATTTAGTTTTATTTCTTGGCACAAATTACATACCGATCATGAACTAAGGGTGATTATTACACGTATATCGTTGCACGCATAGTAATTTTTTATCCATGTTATTCAATCACTTGTATAATCATATAATACGGACCTTTAAAGAACACTTCTACGCAGTCAAATAAAGAAATACTACACCAATAAATTTGTTTTTATCTAAGTTTTTAGTTAGATAAGTATGATAATAAATCAGAACGTCTATTGTTGATGTCTTTTTGTATAGGAGAGAACCAACTATATTTATCATAAAATGACATGTTTTTATAATGTAAAGTGGAGCGAATTTTTTATTTTTAAGAAAGTTAAAATGCCTCAATCCTCAAATTGAGGCATTTTAACTTGCCTCCTCAATCCTCATAAAACTTGATGCTTATAAGTCTACGGTATATCTAGTTTAACAGAAAGTTTTGTCTAAGTTTTGTCACTATTAACATTTACGATATATTTAGGTTTAAATATACACCTCTTTTTTTTCTATTGATATATTGCCCCTTTAATGAGGGGTAATATGGAGTGAAAGAAGGTCACACCACACGGGGTTTGTCCTTTGTCCACACGGGGAAGTGGAACAGGATTCAGAAGAACAAAAGAGAGGTCTAAAGTTATGTGGTTTAATGTTAACAATGTCTCCTGTTTTCAAAATTAACTATTATTATGGAGGTACAGAAAAATATTAAGCTCAAAAGGGGCCAGAGGTAAAAATGGTAGAGAAACACTGGTCTAGATCGTATAGCTGTGTGACGTCAGACATTGGGGCCGTTTTAGTTTTACACGTACTCCATTTACAATTTCTTCCAGAGATAAAGGCCTAATTTTTATAATAATACATCATATTTTGCTAATAATAGTTTAGACAAATTTAATGTTATATATTTATCATTTGCATATAGGCTACAGTATGTATAATTACTAATAATTTCTAAAAGCGATAAATTTATAATGATCTAAATTCTTATTTTATTAATAAGTTATCTTGTTCACTTAACTAGCAGAAAATTCCAAATAACCACACTACATTAATATTTTATCCTGACTATGGCCCTCCAAGGGAGCCACAGACCAAAAGTTGATTTTGGTCTGTGGCTCCCTTGATGTGGTTCATTGTTCCAAGGGATCACATGACCTCCAGCTGAGACACACTGAACTAGATGGCCTTGGTCCAACCAATGCTTTATCAAAGTAATCATAGCTTAATTAAAGGCAATATGTGGTGTTCAAATGGCTCATGGTGCTGCAGAATTTTATAGTTTTATGAAAAACTTGTATAATCAATGTATGTTTTATTTTTGATATGTGCACTTATTGTTCTTTGGACTTCTTTCGAAAATAATTTATTTAATAACCTCTAAAAAATTTTCGTGGCACACGAGCACTAATTCTAAATTATTCCACTGTGGTAAACAGCGCTAATATCCGGAAATTGTTTTATAGATATTTTCTGGTGTATTATGGCTGTGTAAATCGAGTTCTCACCGCCTAAACCGACCTTCATCCACCTTTTCTGTTCATAATAACACTTTCATTTTTCTTTTTCGTTACTTCTACCTACGTCGATTTTGATGAATAATTCATTCAAAAAATATATAATTTTAAAATTATATTTACTTAATTACTGCGACAATGGTATAACGAGATAGACACATTACATCATTACTGTTACGGGTAGCACAGAGCACTCATGTGCGTTCAGAATCAAAGTATTACACTGTGAAAACTACATACTTATTTAAGTTTATTTTTTTCATTTATGAAGAATACTTTCTTAATTCTAATAAGTGTCCATCAGTGGCCGAGTGGATAGAACCACCTAACACTAGTAGTTGGTGGTGGGTTTGAGCATAGCCAACGGGCTGGCCACGTGTTAGTGACACTTAAATAGGGGCAAAAGCCCTCCCAGGAGGCATCTCCTCGACAGAAAATATATATTAAATAATTTAAGGTTGAATGTCACCACAGAAAAAAAGAGGGGTTTTTCTGGGGCGATGTACAGGTGTTCACATAAGAGATGGGATAACGAAAAATTGTTTTTAGATTGGCTTAAACATTTTAAACAATTTGCAAATAATCTCCTTAATCTTAGTTTAATAAATCGAGAATACGGAACTTTATTTTGTGAAATATTCCGATAAAATAATCAAAATTGCCCATCAGTGGCCAAGCGGTTCTGTTCCCTGAACACTGGGAGTTCGGAAGAAATAATTTATCATTTTCTCCTTCTCCTTTTCTTTCTAATAAATTCTTCGTAAAAATAGAAATGACGTAATTTATTACGTCAGTTTTCTATTTGTATTAACATATTTTACTTGTATGTTCTTTTTTGAGGTTTCAACAAAAATAATTCTCGATAATTCTGATTTTTCATTTCGTTCTTCAACGTAATATTTACATTTGATATCCAAGATGTGGTTAACAAAGTTCAATAACATTAAGCCACATTAGAATACCGAGTACTGACGGGTTCTTTGAATTATCGTAACAATATTTATTTAATTTTTTTTTTCTTTAAGTTTTTATATAAATTGAATAGAATTTATGATCCTTTGTGAGCTCTTCGATGAAAAAAATTAATATAAATTTTGTATTAGATTAATGGAAGAAAACTAAACCAGTGTGAAAAATAGGGTGTAAAACTGATCTAAATCCATAATAAAAAACTCAATGTAAACTGACAACAATCAGAAATTGGATTAATTAAACAGAGTTTTGCTTATGCTTCACATAATGAAATCATACTAATATCCTTGATGCATTGCAGTACCTTTATACGAGGAGTATTTTAGAAAAATTCTACTGCGATTATTAGGGACATGTAAATAGTACGGAAATTCCGCTCAATACGTAAATTTTCCAAACATAAGAATAAAACGCTAATTAAAAATGTGATCTTCACAAATCATGTGGCAACATACGAAGTCGATGACCTTATGAAAGAGAAAGAGCCTACATTATGCAATCTATTCTACAGTAATTGGTAGAGCACTGAGACAATGTCTTGTAGTCCAGAACACTACTTTAAAATGATGTTACGTTATAGGGAAACGAGACGAAATGCACGAGAAGCAAGTACAGTACATAAATTTCACAAGTTCTTTCCAACTGCACGAAGACCGATATGTATTAAGTCTACAGCTAACTGTTTTTGTGTTAATTTATGTATTGTTGGCTGTTATT